CCCCCAACACGCATACCTTTGTTTGTCCTAGAATTTTGTTGTTCCATCCGGGTGGACCCATCCGAAACAACTGCCATCTCGGCCAAGATATCCCTAATATCCTGGTGGCACATGTGGCACATGTGGTTTTTAAAAGTATACGGAGTATATCTTTATTGCTTGTCCTAAAAATTTGACCGCGTTGGTTTTTAAAAGTATACTTCCTCTGTATCATAAGTTAGGGTACCTAAATTTGTACGGGCCCTTAACCGTGTCCGATCTGTTTTTCGATTTTTTTGTTGAAATCTTCGGAGTTTTTTTAGCAAGAAACATTTATTTTATTTTATATGCATGCGCCACCCCGCGTGCATGAGCGCCCGAGAAAAAACAGTCGGCCTGAAAAAGGCCGCATTTTGCATGTATTCTGCCCCCTCCGACCAGGCGGGGGGGGCGGGGCAATGACAAAAACAAGGCAAAAATACCAAGAATTATCGCTGACCCTAAACCTAGCCCCCCCTCTACTCAACGATCCATGACGCGTCCCCCATACTAAAAACAGCATAATAGTGGCCCCCACACTGAAAACAAGACACTTGGGGGGACCACACTAAAACCAAGACACTTACGGGGCAAAGCAAGCAACAGTAGGGCCCTCATCCAACCCCCCCCTCTACTCAACGATCCATGTCGCGCCCCCTATACTAAAATCAGTATAGTAGTGAACCACACTAAAACCAAGACACTTGGGGGTCACACACTAAAACCAAGACACTTGGGGGGTCACACTAAAATCAAGACACTTGCGGGACAAAAAGAAGGGTTGGTTGGTGGCGGGGAAAAAAAAGAAAAAGTCGACTATTCTTCCTCATCATCACTTGGACTCGATGCCGCCGCAATCTTTGAAGGGGTGAGAAGCGACGGCCGCCCACTTTGCTTCGTTTGAAAGGTCCAGCTCCTGGGTGTTGTCGATCTGGGTTTTGACCCGTTTCCACAACTTGGACGGGTACTTCTTTCCAACACCGTAGCGTTCGCAGATCGGGTCAAGCACGCCCTTGGGAATCCTTGACAACCCCGGCTGAATGCCCATCGCAATTTCTACCGCCATGGCATAGCGCCTACCAACCGATAATTCGGTGCCCCTTTTGCGAGGTGGTGTGCTGGGGGGCGATTCCATCGCTAGGGTAGGGTAGTAAAATGGATTTGAGAATTTTGTCGAGAATTCTCAAAAAATATCCCACAATATTTTCTCAAAAATATTCCCAAAACAGGCCAAAATAGGGTACATTTTGACCAATATTAGGTACAGAAATAGATGTTCGTTTTTTTAATTTTTTTTCCATCGCTCCTTCTTTGTTATATCTTTCTTACAAACCCGACTATGCTACCATCACTAACACGGTTGCACCCAGACAATCTATTGCATTTAGGTACCCTAACTTATGATACAGAGGAAGTATGGAGTATATCTTTATTGCTTGTCCTAAAAATTAGACCGCGTTGGTTTTAAAAAGTATACGGAGAATATCTTTATTGCTTGTCCTAAAAATTAGCCGCGTTTTTGACACACTCCCCGGTCACGCGGTACCCTTATTTTGTTCGTGTGGTGCGGTGTCTTTGCGCGTCGCAATCGTCTCGACTCGTCTGGCCTTGTTATTCTAAGGAGTTGTAGACAACAAGAACGTTGCCGGCGGTGGCTTCAACGCCGGGCGGGCATTCTTGTTCAGAGATATGCTATGGTTATCATTGGGGCGAAAATGGTGTGGTCATGAAGCGGCTCAGCTCACGTGCTTCTCTCTCTCTCTCTTTCTGTCTCTGTCTATCTCTGTCTATCTCTGTCTGTCTCTCTCTTTCTCTCTCTCTCTCTCTCTCTCTTTCTCCTTCTCTTGACGTTGCTGTTATCCTCGTGCTGGCAGGTGAAGCCGTACGGGTCGTTCGTCACCGGACTGTCACTCCCGTGGAGTGACCTGGATCTGGTCATCTGCCTCCCCAAGGTGTGCAACTCCCTCCCTTTTCCGTTATCTCTGCACCCACAACAATACCAGCAGCAGGTGTTGCTGATGTGATTCTGCTGTGGTTTGTGGTTTGTTGCAGTGCTCTTCCATGTGTTCGAGCTTGTCTTCCATGTCCTTCAGCGCACCGACGCAGGTCTGAAGCAGCCACGATCCCGGACAACGGAGTGGCCGTTGTTGCTGTTGGTTGCTGGCGCTTACTGGTAGTTCCAAGGAGGCTGTGACCGTACGGCCATATCCGGGGATGCGGACTCTCTGCGCCGCGTAAATTGTCTCCACATATCCATATATACAGATTGACCTCATGGTGTTGGTCCTGAGACCAAAGTCTAAGTCTTAAACCTTCTCCCGGTGTGCCAAGCAACCCTCCCCTCCCCTCCCCTCCCCTCCCCCTGTTTGTCCACAACGACACGTACGCAGGTGCGGCGAGATGCGCCGGCGGATACACCGGGAGCTCTTGAGGGCAGAAACGCCATCAAGGAGACATGGCAACAGGAGCTCGCGCGCAGCCTGGGCGGAGAGTGAGTAGCCCCCCCCCCCCCCCCCCCCNCCCGGCTTTGTAGGGATGCGAGGTCAATGGTTTAACGACTGCGGCATGCACGACTACGAGTACCCCCCCCCTCCCCCGCGCGCGCCTCCGCGGTGTGAACGTGTCAGCATGTGTGACTCGCCACCAGCACCGCAAGTTTCTTTTTCGTGTCATGCGCACTTGAACCCTTGAACCTCAAGCGCTCTTTGCTTTTAGTGAAAAAGCTTCCGCTATTTTCGATGGAGAAGGGTCAATCTGGACCCTTCAACAACCCACGGTCTTCACCGCCCCCCCCTCCCCTCCCATACCTCGGAGTAGAGATCGCAAAAGACTGCTCGTGGAATGTACACATGTCCAAGGTAGCGGAAAAGGGCGAAGCACGAGCAGGGAAGCTGCACCCAATACTCGCAAACCGGCACCTCGATACACGCATC